TATTTACCCATTTACGCAAAATATGCCTAATTCCTATCGTAAGAGGGACAACGGTTCCAGTCGTACATTTATACTAGTAGGTTTAATTAAGGTTTAAAATCAAAATGAATCAGCTATATAATTCTTTACACTTTCTAGAGAAAATGATGAAGACGGCATCCAACACGCGACCAGGGAAGAATAACAGACTTTGAAGTAATTATACAGAGGGATCAAACTGATACTGGAAAGAGAAATACATTTGTAAAGGCTTTCAGCGGAGCTTATCTCTACCAGTTGTCACATAAAGCTTTCATATCATTACCTAGTGATCATTTGAGATTATGAGATCGGACACCAACCACGGTTCTCTGGGAAAATTGCACTATCAGTAGGCCGATATTGGCAGACTTTATATACCAAGATAAAATGATGAAAGAGGTCTCGATCACCTAGAGATGAGACCGGCAAGAGTGACTACCCAAATTCGCATAGATAACTTCTTGAAAGGAACTAACAATCAATTATATAAATCTTTACGACAATTTCCAAATGAATTATATCTTCAGAACTTCGCGGCTTAACATACCTAATGTAGGTAAAGAGAACAGCGGCGATGCCGACAACAGCCAATACTGATACTATAATATAGGTGGTGACGCTGTTTTTGTCTGTTTCATTAAGGAAGTAAGAATAATGTTATTTATCATCACTGAATTCGTTGACAATCTCAACTATGACGGATAATGGCAAAGGCAATGACAATAACAAAGACTTAAACAATGTCAAAGCGAAAATGGCAATGACAAGAGCAATGGTAAAGACAAACATAGAGACAAGGACATATTCACCATGAAGCCGAAACAGCTTTTAATACGGACATACGTTTTGATCAGGTGGTGTGCGCACTCTGATTGTGTTTCATCATGGTCGTAAAACTAAAAGTAAGTCATTTGTATCCTGTCGCACTCGAGTGTATATCTTCGGTGGCAGCATGATAGCGTGAATATATAATGGGGATCCATTGACTGTTGCCGTTCCCCCGAAAGTTTTAATGGTATTAAAAAAGATGATATGATCTGTCAAAAATTTTCCAATTTCATTCCTTTCACCGCCATTTTGAATATAGTGCTACCACAGTGTAACGTAGTTGGAGTGCGCGCACCGCCTGCTTTCTTACCTTAACCCTCACTACCGGAAAAAAACAAAACAAAGCAAAACAAATCGAAAGAAAAACAGTTAAGTGCATATCGTGCCTATGTGTATCTAGCTCATCCAGAACGGCTTAGAAAACTAACACCAACAACAAAACTAGACAGATGAATAGAGCTACAACAGTTACAACGCAACAGCGATAATGCAATAACAATCATAACGGTAAAGATCTGCAATGCATAACAGTAATGCATGATCTGCGGTGCATCAGGAATCCTCAACCTATTTTACCTTGGACACAATCGTCTTTTGCAGAGGCCCCAGTGTTTTGAGTTGATTTCCCTTCTTTGCATGCTGTGCAGTGGTCCTGTCCTTCCTTGTCTTGATAGCTACCTTTATCACACTTTTTACATCGGAGACTCCCCTTATCGTGGAAAGTACCAATTGAACAAGCCACTAAAAGATTCATAAGGAAGCATCTTTGACTGTGAGCTCCTCGATTAATAAAGGACCATTCCTACCTTTTTTTTAAGAAAGTAATTCATCCATTAAAAATCACGCTCGTACGGATAATATTTGCAAAGATAACGTTTTATCCATCATATGGCTTAGGCATGTCGCCGATATAAAGTTCTTTGATTGGGCTTTGATTGGGTAAAAACAAGAAAGAGCAAAGTAGCACTTTAGGAGGGAGGAAAAAGGCCGTAGAAGGACAAAATGATTATCCTGAAAATTCGAGTGGACGAAAACGATGAGGGCCTAAAAAACCTATTAGGATGAAATTTTATTCCCAGCTGCTACTAGAAAAAACATTCGGACGAAAAGCAACGGAGGCTCAAACTTCCTATGACAGCATGCCTTATAGACGATGGTAACAGCCAAGACTACATTCAAGTTCACATCCAAGAAACAAACCAAAAAAATAAAAAAAGAAACAAGAACAACAATCACGGGAAAAAAGAAAAAAAAGAAACAAAAACAGCAACAGCAACGACAAGGAAGAAATCGACTATTTTTGGGAGCAAAGTTTCGGGAGAAGCTGAAACATCTAACATTTATAAGCCCACGATAACTTCCAAATGTCAGGACCATCATTTTCGCTTGCTCTCCCGCGTTGCACATTACTTCTGAGGTCAAAAATGGGACGGGCTGTCGTAGGTAGAGATGGTTAACGTCAGTTTTAGTTTTATAGTTTTTTTTAATTTTAACGACTTTTCCGAGTGGATTTTAGACCCGGAAAGGGTTAGTGCGAACGGGACAAACGAGGTCTCATGCCAGGCACCACCCCCTTTCCCCAATTCACCCTGGATAGACACTGCACAAAGATAGACCACAACACCGGGCACTACATGCCCTTCTCTTTTCGAAGAGTGTGTGGGTTCTTTAACGTCCCACAAATTTAAACACATATAAGGGCTTGTGAGACGGGACCTCCATTTATCGTCCCTATCCGAGAAGACTAGGAAGTCTAACCGTATGCAGATATTATTACAAAGGCAGCACTTTCTACTAAGTTATTTAAAGACCCTGAGTGTTGGTCCGGCCGGGGCTTAAACCCTCGACCTCCCGCACAAGAGTCCGGCGCTATACCAATTGAGCTAACCGGGAGGCAGTATTCACCACTACTGACCACAGTCCACCTTAGGACTATCCTTACTCAGACGCTCAGACTACGCAATCAAATGCCAACCCCGGGTTCAACCATTTATAAATTTAGTGTATTATAACCACCTGATGACGCATGATTGATAAATTTAGCCAGTTCTGACAATATTTTGCTGACTTGGCATCCGTGGGAAGTTTGGAGAGCACTTCGAGAGCTGCACCTCGAGCAACTCTTACGCTTCTCTCATGCTTTCCAAACTTCCCATGTACATCCATAACTTGATGAAAGCACGTCAAGCATGAAACAGTTATTGAATATGTTTTCTTGTTTTTAAGCATCATAACTTACCACATCCTTTTTCATCACTACTCGTAACGAAACCTGCATCACACACAACGCTAGTGGACAGAAGTAGAAGCGATGATCTATCAGCTTTTATGTCCATTCCATGTAGGGTTATCGTGAATTGTCCTGTGGCGACGGCATACTGCATCTGAAATAACACCGCCGCACTCTTCTCCTGCACGTCATCATAAGTCAAATTAGATGCTCTGAAGACCATCAGTGAGAAAGTTACTCTCATGAATGGTTTTGCAGTCCTTCTACTTTGATTTGCCGATATCTGGCACTCGGGAATTTCTATCTCTTGTACTTGGCATGCTTGACATCCGGGGACGGTTGAAAGGGTAGCGGCAGTTTCCCCTTCGATTGCTGAGCGCAATTCACTGTGACTTTGACTGCCGTTGCACAACATTGCAGGAAAATCAATAGAAAAGCGATGTTTTATTTCTTTCGGTGCAGCTATCCCTAAATATAAGATAACATCAGAAACAGTTGACAGGCGAAGAAAGAAAAAGAAAAAGTAACAAAAAGATGGTGAAGTACAGTGCCGCGTTGACATAAAATATTTCAAGTGCTTGGCTTATTGTCCCTTTTCTTATTGCATTGGTGAGTGATAATGGTGTCAGCTGATAACAACTAAAAGTTGAAGCAAACCCCGTGATAATGATAAAGATGATGATGAGCCCTTTTATAATAGTAACAACAATATCAATAATAATAATAATGACCCTTATACCCTATAATCCCCAAGAAATATTGAGATTTATCATAACATCTATGATAAAATACTTGAAAACCGAAATATACATTAAATTATTAAAAATTTGTTCAAGCTTAACATGCGTATCTCGAGTTATGGATGCACGGGGGAAGTTCGGAGAGCGTGAAATATGCGCAAGAGTGGCTCGAGGTGCAGCCGAAAGCTACTCTAACGTTTAGAGGGCTCTCCAAACTTCCCGCGTGCATCCATAACTCCATATGCGCACTGCGAAATGCATAAACAAATTCTTTTACAACAGAGCCACAACAAGAAACTGCGCGAAGAAGCTTTAATTGTAATAGAGTGCAAAATTCTAACAACGCACAAAAAATTAAACAAACGTCCCTATTGGTTGGAAAAAAACACGCCACATTTTACACTTTGGTTTGAGCGAGAATATCTGATTTATTTAATCGATAATTGTCAATGAAAAGCTCAAAATTGGCGAGAAAAATGGAGAAAATCAAAGCCAAATGCACTCAAGTGTCACGATAACATGATTTAAACGTCAAAGACCCGGGGCCGAAGTTATCAAGGGTTTTGATTGTTCAAAATAATGTTCACGCTGCCGTGCAGGATGAAGTTGTATCGTATTTACGATGCGCAGAAAAATATTTTGTTCGTAGGGGTTCTATAGGACCGTATAGGGCAACCACGCGCGCAATGCTATAATAATGATGATAATAGCCTTAATCGATTACTCCTTCCAGTGGGCCTTTCCTGAAAAGGAGGAAGTAGATCAATTGGAATTATTCAAAGTGCAGCCAAAGAGTTGAACCTGGGGTAATCGAAAACAAATTCAAGGAGCAGGATGGAGGGCTTGATTCTGGGTCCACGAGATTACAAGTAATCTCGACCACACTGTCTCCCTATCACTATCGTTAGTGGCAGTAACAATTGCTCTCCGTATTTTTGTATTTTCAAATGCTATCGTTAGAGGGTTTTATTTATCTTTTCATTAATTTTTTTCATTATTTTTATTTCTGAGAGGGAACAGAGCTAATTTTGCCATTCGCAGTTGAGGTTTTAATTTTCCAGATCTCTTTTACTTACTTAAGCACGTTGGTACTGCCACGTCATCCTCGCCATTCCATTTCCACCCTGTATCAGGCCCACATCTATACGTAGATGTTTCCTCCGCACTGAAAGAGTAATCTTTATTGCAGGACATGATGCAAATTTTTTCACCTGACACTTTACGACAAGAGCGTTTTCCGTTACTGGGCTTTTCTATTACCGGGCATTCTGAAAAAAAAAATTATTAAAAGGTTTAATTTGTATTTGTGCTGTGCCTTTTAGCGCTACAGTTTACAATTATGAGCATGAAAGTGTTCTTCGGGAGAATATAAGATACGTTTAGAGAGGACCTAGATTTCTTGATCGGCTCCTTGACCTCTTGGATGCCTTAATGTTTTCCACGTTGTTTAAGGAGAAAAGTTAGTTTTTCTATCATGAAAGAATAAATGGAACCTCTTAGGTCGGTAAATGATAAGCATAAAGAACAATGCGGGTACTAAGAGGGCTTTTCTAAACATTCACCAGCTAATGGGACTCCGTGTGAAGGAATCTATGGTAACGAATCTCGCTAAAGCTGGAAATCGGACCAGAAAATCTGGAGCACAGCATGGCAAACGTCGGTTTACTACGTCTCTGTGCATATAGTAAAAGTAAAAAAACAACGTATAAAGGAAGAAAAGGCGGATGAGTATTATCTTCCGTTCATGCCTTCCTGTTTCTTTTCTTCATTAATCATAACTATTATTATTTTGAGTGTCAGTTATTTTCCCCGAAATAAAAGATGGCATAGTTTATAGGAATCTTTGTAAGAGCGATGACGTTTACTCCAGCAAAAATTTAAGGCCCTTGGAGAAAAAATTCTGGGGTTTTAAAGAGATGTTCCCTGAAGATGACTAACTGTGTATATATTAGCGTTGCGATCTACATCAGAAGTGATTATAACTATTTCACGCGAAAAACTATCATATCTCACTAAGAAAAATGTCTTTCCCGGACCTCCTATAGTTTAAAAAGAATTATGATTTAGACTCGCTTGAACGAGGTTAAAAAGTATTACTAGAGCATGAATCATTCTAAGTGGCGTTTCTAGTCGGCAAATAATTTGTTTACAAGGCAAAAAATGGTAAAAATAATAAGCCTTGATGGTAATGCTCGACAAACATATGGTGGTACCCAAGCCAGAGTAAAGATAATTCCGTATTCAATTAATTTGTCTATGATCGCGCAGGGACCCCGAAGGGGTGGACATACAAATCTCAGTTCAAATTGGTCTTATACTTCAAAAAGCTAAAGAAATCTTTATCCAACTCGTCGCCTTTTGCTAGAAACTTATGGGAGACGTATCGTCGTCTGTATGCATCCGAGGTGATGAAATGATAAAATGCAGTACAATAATGTAATGCTTCTTAATTAGAGCATCTTACCTTCCTCGTTGACGATCTTTTTTTCACAGTTGTTTCCAAAATATCCCTTGTTGCAGACGCATTCAAAACTACCCACTCCATCAACACACTTCCCATTAAAACAAGGATTCGAGCTGCACTCGTCAATATTGATATCACAGAGGAGTCCTGTGAATCCAGCCTCACAGTCACAATCATACATTCCCTCACGAGACTCACAGTGACGAAAATGAGTGCAGTTAGAGCACGTAACCAGGGCTAAAATAAAAGGGGCAAGATTTCAATAGCTCATACAAAACGACTCTCGGTGGATTTTTTTGTTCTGTATGCATTTCTATGTTTGCTTGTCTGGTGTTTTTTTTTTTTGTATCTCTTTTCCATTGGGTTAGCATTGCATTCAATATCGTCGTCATCATCATCGTCTTCGTGATCATCATGATCAATTCTTTTACCCCTTTTTTTATTTTTTCTTACTTTCAGAATAAACTGGAAATATTTGATTCGCAGTTATGTATATCTGGAAATAAGTGATATCACAACAAATAGTTTTTAATGAGCCAGGAAATTTGACAGCTCTTAATAGCGAACACATTTTCGCTTTCAAAGTTCATTTACATACATAAAACCTGCACACAATCCGCTTTATTTCCTCTCTAATTTTAGATGAGCTATATAAAATTGGCTATTATCTTGAAGGAAAAAAAAAATAACGTCAACAAAATATTTAGCGGTGTGTATTTGATTTGCGTCTTTGTTTTCGTCCTTGTTTGACATCGCTTTCACTTTTATCATTACTTTTTTTTATTTGGACAAATTCTTATAGATCGATTCAGCCATAAACTCGTTGTTTAAACGATTTTATATCCGTTATTGTATTGCGCCAACAAGTTTCCCATATCGAATTTCGGCTTTTCTGTTTAGTAACTCGCTTGAATTAGGAAAAATTTTAATTCATAAAAATTAAAAATAATAGTAACAATAACATACCTCTGCATTTAGTCAAAAAGCTCTTTTCCACCCCTCCTTTAATCCCTGGTAAAAAACTGGTCCATGCCCTCAAACTTCCTGCTATAGGCCAGGAACAGTTGTGAGCTGCGTTCCACATGTGGTAAGAAGTGCCTGGTACATTCCAAACGTTGACTTGATGCAGTGTGCCAACAAAGGCTGTTTTAAGGGATGCTGTCTTTTCTTCGGCAAGATAACGTTGACCAAGTACAATCCATCCCTCTCCTCTGACAATGATATTGCTTTTCATGCCGTCCATCGTTTTTAATTCCTTGCCGTCGATGTAAATGGAAGCTCTTTCGAGGCTTCCATCCCATATGACTCCAACGAAATGCCATTTGTCGTCTGCTAACTTGTAATTGGCCATCATTATTTCTTCCTTAATGGTCAGGACAAGTTGAGACTCTGTAAAGGACAGTATGATGATGTCGTCTGGGGTCCCGGGAACACTATAACTGAATAGCGTGCCTGACGTGTATCTGGAGTCTGCTCGCACAAATTGGACAAGGGTAAGACTTGTCATGTTCGGAATATCTCTACCGTCTGTTAAGAAAACCATGTCCTCTGTCGTATGGCGTTTAAATATCAGGTCAAAGTTGCTGGAAAGAACTATAAAACAGCATTAATTAATCACATCGTTCCCAACTTCATATACTACAAATAAGTTTGACTCAAATCAGCGGCGCCATCGTTCGAATCAATTTACCCACAAAACCCTAGACTATATTTCTTCGAAAAGTAATGGCAACGGGCCTCAAAATTAACTTTAGAGATACACTCCATAGGATGCTTGGTACATTAATTTCCAATGACGTTGACAAGCAGATTTTACTGCAAGGTGGGCTAGTTTGAGGAGTATGATTTTTCCACACAATTCAACATGATTTAACTCAACATAATTCAAGATTCGTCATCATAATTATCATTATTTTCGTGATTTTCATACTTAAAGAACCTCTTTTCCACCCCCCCCAAACCAATGTCTTCCTCTCTAGAGCAAATTGTTACAGTCGAGAATCATTTTATCACAGGAATGACAAATTAACATTTGGCCCGAATGAACAATAGTATTTGCTGTATTTTAAGAGACCGCATATCAAATTATCACTGTTCATCTATGTCTGGGAGTAGGGGGCAGGCAAAGAGGTCTCAATTGAGTGATGGATTTTATGGCTAACGATTAAAATTTGGCCCTCAGTTAATTTACTTCTATTGCTATTAAAATTAAGAACTTTTATTATTGACCTGTTTTACTACTAATGGTTTATAAGCTAGTAAGTTGTTGTTGCTATTTGTTTTGCTCTTTTACCCCAGTACTCTCAGGGATGCATATCGATATTATCTTAATAACATAATTAATAGTAGATATAAAAATTGATATCTCCTTACAAATCTCACAGTTGTCTCCTGAGTAGGAAGGGTAGCATTCGCACTTAAAATCGTTCACCTTGTCAATACAATAGGCGTTGGCTTCACAAGGATTTGAAATGCAATCGTCAATATCTTCTTCACATACAGATCCTGTAAAGCCAGGTTTGCATGTACAGTTGAAGTCTTCTGAATAATTCTCAGCTTTACATATGCCTCCGTGCTGACAGGGGGAAGAAATGCAAACGTCAATCGCGTATTCGCAGTTCTCTCCATTAAACTGTTCTGGACACTTACAGCTGTACCCTGGGGTCAAATCGATGCAGGTGCCATTGTTCTTGCAAGGGTCAAATTCACACTCATCGATTTGTGTTTGACAGAACGTCCCGTTAAAACCGTTCAAGCAGTCACAGTAATATCCAAGGGTTATGTCAATGCATGTAGCATTGTTGAGACATGAATTATGAGCACAATCATCTATGTTCACCTCACAGAACCTTCCCGAGTATCCATCCAAACAGGTACAAGTGAAATTGGCTGGGACATCAAAACAGGTACCATTGTTAAAACACGGCCTCGCCAGGCACTCATCCAGTTCATATTCGCAATATTTTCCAAAATATCCACTGCCACATTGACAATTAAATCCTGTTGGAGAGTTGACGCAGTATCCATTTTTTGTGCAATTTGAATTTTTACAATAATCGATTTGGCTTTCACAGCGGGAGCCTAGAAAACCTTCTGGGCATAAACATGAGTAGTTGCCCACGAGATCTATACAAAAACCACCATTTGCGCAGGAGGCATCTTTGCAGTCGTCAATGTTAACTTCGCACTGCGTACCTGTAAACCCAGTAGGGCACGCTCAAATGAAACTATTGACCTGAAAAAGAAATGTCCAAAAAAATGCCAACTCGTTAGAGATATAAAAATTTGACCACACAAATTCTAACTAAAACAATGTTATTTAATGAGTTAATGGCAAGAAATGCAATAATTTGCAGTATTTTGGATCTACCACGACGGAAATTAAAGTCAGATTTATTCATCATAACCCGTTTATAAAAATAACGCTTCCTTTTTTTTAAAACACAGACAAAATATAACAAGATAAGCGACATACTCGGCTGCCTCTGGTGTACCACCGCTTTTTTTATCGTTATATTTTGATCTATTGCAGAATAGACGAACGGCAACATGGTATCTCTTTGTTCAGTCAGATATCCTTTACCGATGTTTCGGTCGAAGACACCGGTTTTCATCAGGTTGGATGGTCTTTACATGCGTGTCATACCGCGCACAGAAATATTTGAACTATACACGCCTTTAATTTTAGTAACTAAACCTCTTCAAGCGGCTGGTACCTAGGCTGATGATGTCCACGGCTGAAATACTGTCCGAAAAAGTAATTTCGGCCGAAAAGAGTAGTTTCGAGGAAGAATGCGTTTCTTTTAAGGGCAATTTTTACCGACAACAACATTAACTTTATTTTCAATGTACAGAAATAAAGTCCTTTGTAGCCCGCAGAGTTAGCAAAGCTGTTCTAGGCGGGCTATCTTAACTGACACTGTATAGGCTCTCTCACTCACACACACACACACACACACACACACGCACACACACACACACACACACACACGCACACACACAAACAACAATTAAATAAATAAATAAACGAGCAAATAAAAATAAATAATAAATAACAGTAGTGATAATTATGCTAAAGGTTTTAACTAGGCCAGTCACACAATAGGTTTTTCACAAGTGAAAGGGAAAGCTAGTCTATGGAAAGGTGCTTTCCATAGCTTAAGCAGTTCAGGGGAGATGCCATTCCATATTTTCGCACCGACTCTGGAAGAGAAAACGAATTGATGATTTGTTCTCGCCTGTTCTATATAGAAGCTTCCAGCTACTGAGAAACGGGTTGAGTAGGAATGAACCTGTTCAGATTGAGTAAAAAAAATCAGAAATATTGGGAGGAGCACAATTATTTCTTATGTCATTTAACAGAGAGGCAGCCAATTTGAAGTAAAGCATTTTTATCAGTAGAATTCCCAAACGACCAAAAAGAGGAGCACTGTGAGATGTATAATCGGAAAAATACATTAGACAAAGAACCCGTTTTTGTAAAATGATGATTTTCTTTAGATGGGTAATCCCGGCTTGGCCCCAAGCAAAGAGACCATACGAAATATACGGTTCGATGAGCGAGCGATAAATGTTTGTAAGAGTAGTGAGCGGTCCAAGTGCCTAAGCCTCGCAATAATACCGATACCTTTGCTTATTTTCCTGGAAACGTAGTTAATATGGTGCCTCCAGGAGAGATAACCGTTAATTAGAACACCTAGGTATTTAACATATGTCTGACCAATTGCTCCGAGTTACTATCAAGTATTTTAAGGTTTACTTCTCGGTATAGTTTGTGTTAATAGGGATGAAAAATAACGAAGTTAGGTTTAGATACGTTACGAGATAATTTTATTTGAACTCAACCATTCGCACAAATTCAATAACTCTTCATTGACGACAACTTCAAGTTTGTTTAGATCTTTTTCTGCATATAGTAAGTTGGTATCGTCAGCAAATAGGTAAAGGTCAAACTTTTTAGAGGAACGATG